ATCAGCATGACTGTTCAGGCCTTCATCACCACATGTATGGAACTAATGTAGTAGTCTCCTAATATAGCTCCCTACCTTTGTTCTCTCTTACCCAAACTCACAGCAAGATACAACTCTGCAAATAATCTTTTTTAGGCATTGGTTTCACCATACCATTCCTCTTCTCAAAAATGTTCCATTTCACTTTTAGCATAAATTATAAAATCTTTAATCAAGTATAAAAAACATGAAAAATTGGGTTCCAACCTCTCTCTCCAGCCTCATTATGTACTAGCCTTCATGTACTGTGCTCCACTAAATTATGCTACCAAATTGTTCCTTGAATTCAATAATCCATTTCCATTCTGCACATGCCTGCAGACCATCCCATTGTCTAGAAGATGCTCCTTTCTCATCACGGCCTTTCAAAATCCTTATTGTTTCTTTGAAATTCAGTTTATGATTTACCATGATATCTTCCCTGATCCTAACAAAAGGTTCAGTCCTTCCTCAAATTTTCCCAAAATACTTTGTGTTCATCACATCTTGCTTTATATTATACTTATATGTGTATAAGTTATAATCTCTACAGTAAAATACAAATTCCTCAAGGGTAGGGACCATGACACTTTTTTTGTATTTCTGATACGTAACAGTACCTGGAACATAGCTTTAATAAATGTGTAGCAAAGGAAGCTTCTCATGGGCCTCGATGTTCTATGTGCATTAGCAGGGGTGGAGGCCTTGGGGTGTCCATCCCATCTGAGTGGACTGAACAGCAAGTCAGTAGTGTATGATGAGCTCACAGACTCATCTCTGAGACAGCACAATCTGAGACATTCTGTCTTTACTAGAGAAGAAGTGGGAGTAGGACATGGGGACCAGGCAGCAGTGACAAAATTTATTGACCTATTGGGATGACTCAGTCATAAGAGACTCCACCTGCCAAACCCAGAGTCATCCGCCTAGAGTTTTGAGCTGTTCTGTCAAGCAGACAGACTTTTAAAGAGCAAACCCATTTATAGATTTGGTTAGTGTAATGATGCATGGAGAGGAAAAACAGACTTGTTCCAGACCTTTATTACATAACATTGTAAAATACAGGCTAGGAATCCTGAATGAGAATGAGGAAAAGACAAATACTGAAATCTGACAAATGCAGAGTACCCTTTGACTATTACTAACCAAGTAAACAATGCTCTAAAATTGAATAAGAAAAAAGATCCAGATTATCCTAAGTCACTTTTTGTATTTCACTTTGCGAAGATATTCTGCAGGCTAGGAGGCTTTGATGTACTATACTCATAGGGTTATATTTTGGAAAGCATCTTTTTCTAACCCACCCTGAGGTCCAGTTTCCTGATTGGTTAGACCCTAGCCTGGACAACATTTCACGAAGGGTACTGGCCATGTTCACTTATCTCTAGGGTGAACTCAGTCTCTGGAATTCACCTCCTCACCAGTGGCTTTGTCTCCATCTCCTACCTTCCTTTCTCCTCTCATTCCAGTTTATCTTTATGTGACATGTTGTCTTCCCCCATCAAAATGTGATCTCCTTGAGGGGAGAGATTTATTTGTTTGTACTTGTATCCCCAGAATTTAGCATAGTGTCTGACACATAATTAATAAATATTCCAAGTATCTATTTATGTGTGTGTGTGTGTGTGTGTGTGTGTGTGTGTATGCTGTTATTGTTGAATCATTTTGGTTTCATTCAACTCTTTGTAACCCCTTTTTGGGGTTTTCTTTGCAAAGATACTGGAGAGGTTTACCATTTACTTCTCCAGCTCATTTTACAGAAGCAGAACTGAGGCAAACAGAGTTACATAGCAGTGTCTAAGGTCAGATTTGAACTCTGGGAGTTGAGTCTTCCTAATTTCAGACCACCTAGATGCCCTTATCTATTTCTATGTATCATGTAACTATCTAGCCACATATTAGTCCACTTTATGGTATGCCCCCAATCCCCAAATTGCCATGCTTTTAAAAAATATGAATTTTTTTTGTTTTCCCTGGAATTATTCTTAATTGGAGCTGAACATATGAAACTTGTTTCTGAGGGGCAAAGTCACAACACACATAAATGACCTACCCACAAGACCAAATTAATACTAGGTTTTAAAGAGGGTTAGCCATTTTACCTTATACCCTACTGCTCCTATCATTGCTTACATAACTAATTTGATTCTAATTTGATCCTCAGTACAACCTCGTGAGGTAGGAACTATTATCATTCCCATTTTGTGGATGGGGATAATAATAATTATCCTCTATTTTGCTGATGAAGCCACTAGAGCTCAGAGGTAATGTGACTTGCTTCGGGTTGCACATCTGGTAAGTATCTGAGGGCTTCCTGACTTGAAGTCTGAGGCTCCATCTATGGGGCTACACTTCCTCCCTCAACCAAACAAATTCTCCTGGCCATATAGCTCCTACAACATTGATTACTGAAACTTCAAACAGCATTTCCTTTGTCATAGGAATTCCCCGACAGAGACTCTAATCTATTTTTCCATTAGAAATCTTTTCAATTATGATTATTTTAAATAAGTAATGAATTATTTGACTCAATAAGTATCTAGCTGAATACACATAAGCATCTATACAACATCACCAGTTGTTCATTTGGTCTTTGCCTAAAGATTCCCAATAAAGGAAGCAACCAATCATTACTTTTTAAGGCACTGGAAAGATCTAATTGATAGAATAGAAAACTTTTCTTTACATTAAGCCTAAATCTACCTCTGCAGATTCTACCCATTGTCCAAGTTCTGCTACCTACAGTCAAATAATTGACCCTGAATAATTTTTTGTTCCATTCTACAGATAAGAAAACTGAGGCTCAAAGAGATTAAATGACTTATTTAAGACCCTAGATTTACTAACTTGTTTGAATAGTTGATCCATCCATGGAATAAAAAAAAAAAAGTGCTCAGGGCTATTAAGAGGGATGCCAGAAAAAACAGCCAAGCTCTAGATTCTAGAATGGGTGAGAATTGTAGCATCAGGCACCCTGCTGTGACATGGGCAACTCAAAAGCACACTAATTAAAATGATTGTGCAAAACTGAATTGCCACAAACCTTGTTCAAGTCACAGCCCCACTCTGAGTCTCATGTGTGACACCTGTAAAATACAAGGTTTGGAGACAATGACAGATGAAGTCCATATTTCTTTGTGTTTTTTATACTAATCAGCTTTAATTACATTGTAGCCAATCGATAATTTTTAAAATAGATTTTACTGGTATCATTTGTTTTTATATTACCTACACTACCCCTCCTTGCCCCGTCCTCATTCCCTCCCAGAAAGCCATCCCTTAAAACAAAGTATTTGTTTAAAATGAAAGAAAAAGGGGAAGAAGAGGGGAAGAAAATTCAATAATTTTTTTTTTGGTGAGGCAAGCGGGGTTAAGTGACTTGCCCAGAGTCACACAGATGGTAAGTGTTAAGTGTCTGAGGCTGGATTTGAATTCAGGTCCTCCTGACTCCAAGGCCAGAGCTCTGTTCACTGTGCCACCAAGCAGCTGCTGAAAATTCAATAAAATTGATCAACATTTCAGAAATATCTGACATTATCCAGAGGTGGGGAACCTTTGGTCTCAAGGCCACATATGGCCCTCTAAGCCCTCAAGTGTGACAGAATCATCAAAGGGCCACACTTGAGGACCTAGAGGGCTACATGTGGCCTCAAGGCTGCAGGTTCCCCATGCCTGTTACATACAATATCCCACAGTTATGGAACCCAGCTTCTCTTTGTGAAAAGGGGCCCATATCTTTTCTCTGTGGCCAAACTTGTTATTTATAATTTGCAAAGTTCAGATTTGATTGTTTTGTGGTTACCGGGGTTTTTGGTTTGTTTGTTTTGTTTGTTTTTTGGGGGGTTGTGTGTATACTGTTTTCCTGTCTCTTCTTACTTCACTTTAAATCAATGCGTGCTCATTGCTTTTTACAGCACAGTAGCATTTAATTGAAGGTTGTACTACAATTTGTATAGCCTTTCTCCAAATGATAGATAGACATCTGCTTTGTTTCCAGTTTTTTGCAACCACAAAATGTACTGCTGCAAATATTTCATTATGTATGGAACCTTTCAGGGCAACTAGGGGGTGCAATGGATAGAGTGCCAGGCCTGGAGGCAGGAAGACTCACCTTCCTGTGTTCAAATCCGGCCTCAGGTACTCACTAGCTTTGCGACCCTGGGCAAGTCACTTAGCTCTGTTTGCCTCATTTGCCTCATCTGAAAAATGAGCTGGAGAAGGAAATGGCAAACCACTCCAGTATCTTTGCCAAGAAAACTCCAAATGGGGTCACAAAGAGTCAGAAATGACTGAACAGCAATGGAGCCTTACTTTTTGTTAAAAACTTCTTTGGGCTGTATGCCTTGCAGTGGAATCTCTGGGCCAAAGGGTTATGGACATTGTAGCAATCTGATTTAGATCATTCCAAATTGCTTTCCAGAAGAATTGTATTAATTCATGGCTCCACTAAATATTCATTAGTGTATCTGACCCTAAACACCTTTTAACACTGACTGTTTCTGTCTTCTTATCTTTGCCACTTGCAGAGTTTGAAGTGAAACTTCAGAGTTGTTTGAGTTGAATTTCTCTTATTCTCAGTGATTGGTAGCATTCTTGCATAACTTATTGTGTTAATCGTTTGCAATTCTTCATTTGAGAAGTTTGTTCATATCTTAACCATTTCTCTACTGGTGATCTGACAATCAAAAATTAATTATTGCCAGGATCTACCCTTTCTAGTGTTTAATAATGAACCATAATTAAATGACCTGAATGACTTTAAGGCTTACAAAGCACTTTCCTTTCAACAACATTAGGCAATGAAGATATGGTTATCTCCCTTTTTCAGCTTAAAAAAAACCCAAGGTTTATTTTAATTTCCCTTGTAAATATCCCAGACCACATTTGAATCCAGAACCCTTGACTCCAAGTCCAGTACCATGATGACGATTACTTCCCACTTTAATGTAGCCCAAACTTAGAGAAGTAGCAAAGATACTTACCACTACACTAACCAGGAAGATACGGTTGGGTGAAAAAACATTTTGGGTTAAGCATATACTATCCCTGGCGTTGTGGGCTGGGCTTCCCTCTAGCCAGTCTCCTGTGGCTCAGGTCTGCCTCTGGAATGAAATAAGACACTTCTAGGTCATTCAACAGTTAACAAAGGAGCTTTGTTTTGCCATAACAGGGGAAAGATATTCAACAAGGTTATTCAGTGAGGACAACATTGATTCAGCTGGGCTCAGTTTCTGGTCATATTGTCATATTGTTAGTCCATAATCAGAAGCATTGAGAGGGTGCTAGAGTTTCTTGTGAACTCTTTTGATAAGGAAGCCTACCAACCTGAACCAGTCTGCTGAGCCCAAGTCTCAAGGAGAACTTCACTACCTCTTCAGGAAAAGAACTAACTTAACCAGCATGGGGTAACATTTTAAGAAAATCTATCCCAGCCCACATGCCAGAAACCTATGAAATTATGTTCCTATCACAAATAATACATCTCAGTCAAGGCATTTGAATGGCCTAGGCAAAATTTGAAAATTGCTTGTATCTCATACAGTTTGGTGGTGGATAGAGCATTAGTTTAGGGGTCAGGTAGTTGCTGGGGTCTGGTTGACCTGATTTTAAATCCAGCCTCTGATACCTCCACTTACTCTCTGTGTAACCCTGGTCAAGTTAACTTCTATATGCCTCAGCTTTCCCGTTTGAAAAATGGTATAATGGCACCTACCTCCCCGGATTGTTGTAAAGATGAAATGAGCAATATTTGCAAAGTGTGATGCAAACCTCACAGCTCTATGTAAATTCTAGCTAGTATTTTCTGTTCCTTGCCTTCTTCCTTGTTATAATCTGCGGTAGACTTTGAGTCTTCAGAATAATAATAGCTAATATTTAGATAGCCCATTAAGGTTTTATGAAGTGTTTAATATACGATTGCATTTGATCCTTGCAATAAGCTGACCAGGCAGGTGGCATAAGGATTAGCATTCATATTTCATAGATAGAAGAAAATAAGGCTCAGAGAGATCCTCTATGACTTATTCAAAGTCATACTGCTATTAATTCTTCACACCATAAAACTAGCAACATGATAGGATGATTGAATCTTTTGATATTAAAAGAATGTGTTCTTTTTTTTAAACAAAAGTAATTTTTAAAAAAACCCAACACCACCAAGCTATCCCTTGTTGCACCAGAACTGGCATATCCTTTAAGGTAATGGTGTCAAACTCAAATAAAACTGTGGGCCATATATTGACTTACAAAACCACAAATTAACATTATTTATGTTGTATTGTATTTTTACATATTATATTAAATATTTACCAATGACATTTTAGTTTGATTCCTGCCTGTACTCAGGAATTTTGTAGGACACTTGGGTCTTCTGGGTCCCAAGTTTGACACCTTTCCTTTAAGGTTACCTCCATAGTGAGGTACCAGAGTAGTGTTTTGAAAAGATAACTTTTCCCAGCATAAACTAATTCCCAGATCTCTGAATATCCTCAATGAATCATTTAAGGACTGGAAGAGAGGTCAGGGGGCCATCTAATGCAACTAAGACCTCAAGGAAAATCTACAAATATAACATATCCAATACAGTGTCATTCAATTTTTTGCTTAAATAAATGAATGAAAAGGAAAGGAAAGGAAAAAAAAGATTAAGTGTTTACTCTGTGCCAAGCACTTGGCTACATTCCAGTGATACAAATACAAAAGAGAAGACACTTGCAATGTGGTGCCCTCACGTTATAATGTGGGATATTATAGGAATAATATACAGAGAGAAGAGTGACCGGAGAAGTGGGCTATTTTGGTTTGGGAAGTTACAAGGATGATAAATGGAGCAACAGGGGATGTGATTGGCACATCCTTTCTAAGTCAATGATGGACTTGATTTGATTATAAATGGAAGGTACCCATTTCAAAAGGTAGTTGGCAAGAAGATAACCAAGGAGTAAAGAGAAGCATAGCTGGATCTGGGTATGGATGTAGTAGGTGACTGAGGCAAGCTCTAATCAGGTTGGTAGGAATTTTGAGAAAAAAGGAGTTAACTCTTCCAAATCATTATTGCTAGTTTAGGTAGCAAAGAGGCTGGGGAGTGAAGACCCTTAATGAGGTAGAACTCACTATGTACCCGAGTCCTCAGACAAAACGCATAGTTGTGAAGATAAAATGAGATAATATATTCGAACATCATATGACTAAAAAGTATTTAGTGGTATTCAGGTGGAAAAGTAGTCATGGTGTGTTAATTGTCATCATACAAGGGGTCTCTAAAAAAATTAAAAAAACAAAAACCTAGCTCCCCTCCCCATTATGTGAGATTATCCTAGAAAGAAATGTGTGTGTGTGTGTGTGTGTGTGTGTGTGTGTATGTGTGTGTGTATTTGTAGGGGAATCATAGAGAGTTAGAGTAGACCCTACACTCAATTGTATTTTATTGTTTTTAGACCAGGTTTATGATGTCATTAGCACAAAGAATTTCCAGTGAGGAAATGTCTTCTGTCAATAAAACTTAGCACATAATTTGCAATTTACATATGGGTTTACACAGTTCCCTGGAACACCAAAATGATTTGCTTACTGGGGTGTTCTGGAAAATGTTCAACAAATTCTCTGGAGAAAAGGAATGTAGGCACTTTTACATTTAATCTACATCATTAACATTTTTCTTATCACTTTCTTAAGTCTGAACACTTAAGAAAATAATAAATCAAGCCCTGATTTATAGTGTTGCTTGTTTCCAGAGTATAAATGCTCACACTAAAAATGCAACAATCAGCTTTAGGACCTGATACAAGCAGGCTCCAACATACTCAACTGTCACACAGCCAATATGTCTGAGGCAGGACTTGAATCCAGGTCTTCTCACTTCTCTCTCTACTAAACTGCATTGCCTCCAGTTATTTACAAATGAGGAAACTGAGGCCCAGGGAGACTGAGTGACTTGTCAAGGATCATAGATCTTCTTACTGGTCAGGCTGAATCTAATAATATAACACTCAATGAAGATGAGTGAATAGTCCTGCACTTGGGTTTTTAAAAAGTCTACTATATAAGGACAGGAAAAAAGGCAGCAGAGATGAGTGTTCAGGCAGTGAATCTGGCATTAGAGGGTCTGGGTTTGTCGCTGAATCCTAGTTCTGCAGTATACTATCTGAGCAAACAGTTCTATGTTGGGTAAGTCAATTGCTCTAGCCTTCAGTTTACTCATCAGTAAAGTGAAGGGTTAGACTTCTGAGATTCCTTCCAGCTCTAAGTCTATGGTCCTATCATCCCAATTAAAAGACAGTGGAGGCATGGCTATACAATGGTTCATGTGAAAAATATCTAGACGTTTTAATGGACTATAAACTTAATGAGTCATTCCTGCATATTGTATCCTTGATGCAACAGATAGAGAACAGGATTTTAAGTCATAGGACACATTTGAATCCTAATTTTGTCACTTGCCACCTGAGTAGCCTTGGGCAAGGCATTTAATTTCTCTAGGCCTTGGTTTTGTCATCTCTAAAGTGAGGGGTTTGGACTAAATGACCTCTAAGGTCCTTTCTTCCCAGCTGAAAAAGTTCTGCTTCTCTTCAAGGAAAGATTAGAATAGTAGGCATTGGGGTATATGGACAAATGTACTGGCTTTAAAGCCAGAAGCACTGGGTTCCAGTGCTAGCTACCTGATGTCAGGCAAGTCCCTGTGCCTCATGGGGCCCCATTTCTCCCATTTGTAAAAAGAAGTTGAACTAAATCGTGTCTATGGTTCATTAGCACTCCCAGATGCTATGAACTCTTTGGCCTTCCTATCCAGGCATTTATAATCCCCATATTCCAAGAATTTTAATGTAGAAACAGGAGACTGATAAGATTTCTTTGTTGCTCACCAAGGACAAACTATTTTTTTTTCTCTCAAAGCAACCAGGTGAGTGGCTACTTAAAATATCCCAGGAGTGTTGGCTTGGCAGTACCATTGTTATTAAAGAACACTGGATGGGATAAAGATATAGTCCCCAGCTTCGGAAGAAAACAAATTTTAAGCAACCAAAATAATTGACAAGGTCAATACTCATAAACAAGGAATTGTTTTTATTCCTCGGAATAACCACAGAACCACCCCCACTACAGTGATCTGTTCTCTATTCTCCAGCTTCCTTATATAAAAGTACCATAAGCAAATATTACAAAGCTTTGCAGACACTTCAGGTGTGCAACAGGCTCTACAGATGGTTTTCTTTTCTCTGGTGACCAGTATCTATTTTATTTACTATAATTGAAATCTTATACTTAGGAACTTTGCTCCCCAAATGCAGTGGCTTCCCTTTTCCCTATTAGCTCTGGCAAACAGCCTCACCCAGTCAAGAGGATAGAATGTACTCAGCTACACTGCTTGGAAGGAACGATGAAAACCTGTCTTTGAGACTTCTTTTATACTCTGGTTTGGGTTCTGTGTCAGCAGGAGAGAGAAAACAAATCATGTAACTTAGATGATAAAAAATTATCCCATAGCTTTTTTTTTGAGAGCTGACTTTAAGAGGCAATGTGACAGAGCTGAGGATTCAGTACAACCTCAGTTCAAGCCTTGCCTCAGACACTTACCAGCTGTGTGACCCCTGCCAAATCAGCCTTAGTTTTATCATCTGTAAAATGGGGATAATAATAGCACCTACCTCATAGTGTTGTGAGGATAAAATAAGATGATATAGGTAAACTACTTTGAAAACCTTAAAATGCTGTATAATTTATTATTATTACTAAGTTAAGTATAAAGTCCCTTTCCCTTAGCCTTTGGGGAAAAAAAAAAGGAAGAATTCCCCAAAAGTTACCAGTGGGGATGGTGCAAATGCATTTACTTCTTTTCTTAAAATATAAATTCCTGGCTGAGATTCTTAAAATCTAGCCAAAACTGGGATTCTTAAAATCTACCCACTGCTGGGATTCTTAAAATCTAGCCACTGCTGGGATTCTTAAAATCTAGCCTCTGCTTGGATTTTTAAAATCTAGCCCTGCTGGGATTCTTAAAATCTAGCAACTGCTTGCTCATGTTCAGACTCCTTAATAGTCTGCTCAATATGATGGATGTTCTAATAAACCCTGTCTTTGGCTGAAAGAAGGCTTGGGTCGAATTCTTTCAGACAGGATTCACGTGTTGTGATTTTGGGGTTCCAGAACCCCTGGACCCCTAAACCACATCATTTTGGTGGCCTGTATGGGGAAACTGCCTAACCCCAAGTTCTTCTCCAGCCAAGACTGGAAGGTATGTAAGCCTCCCCTCCCTCCTTTCTTGCTCTGCAGTTGGGGTCTCTCCCAAGCACCAACGCTTAGAGTGCTTTTCTGGCAGACAGTTACAAGGCTGTCTCTCACTCGGCCTGATGCTCTCAGGCTCTTGGTCCACTGGGTTGGTACAAGGCCATGGACCTGGGTACACCTTTGCAGCATAGAGGACAAGGACGGATGCCTTATCCAGCAGAAGTGTATGTTAATTTCCTTGTGCTAGGGAATCGAGGAAAACTGCAGTTGCTTTTTGGTTCCCTGAGGCTTACTTACTCCCTTCCCGCTGCACCTCTGAATCTTCCTTCATGGAGGTTACAGGGAAAGTTAGAACAGCTAAAAATGTCTTGGCATAAGATACAAATTCCCAAAATCAAAGGCTTTCTTATCACAATGACCTTGCTGTGATGGATGAGCAATTAAAATGCTTGCTAGTAACAGTTTAGCAAGTATTAATAAATAAGAGAAAAGCAACAGCAATAAGTATACCTGCTCTGCTTCTGCCTCATCACTTCCTTGCCTCATCACATTCTGATTAGAACCATGAGTTTCCTATATGTAATACTTACAATCAAAACTTGCCCATACTTTCAGGTATTTGCGTCAATAACATCACAAATATTCCCATCCATATAAGGTTGGTTGGTGTTATGCAGTCATATCTAAGCAAATGAAGTTCTTCTCCTGAGGACTCTTAGACCTTAAATTACCACTTATCCAAGTGTTAGCAGTAGTTAATATCTGAAAAAGGAGAGAACACAGAGAAATCACAGGATCTGACTCTGGATATGAAAGGGTAACAAACCAGCCCCAGTGGATGGCTCCCAGGATAGCATCTCATCCATGTGGAGCACGAAGCAAGTTTGTGGAATCTGATAGTAAACAGAGTATAGCCAGCTTCTCTTATCAGTAAATGTTTCTGTTATGAATGGCAATTAGATATTGTCCCAAAGCATTTTCTTGACACCCCACCACAGAAACTTGCCCATTGGAGGAGGAGGAAAATCTGATGAGTGTTGGGATACCTGGGATATTTAGATGGGGGTGGGTGGGAGGGAAGGATAAGGAAGTTCTTCCCAGAAGGCTCAACCTCAACTTGCCATCCCCCCCTCCCCAATGTGTTTTAATTTCCCAACCATGCTAAACAGATCTTTTGGCCTTCCTTCTTCCCCAACCCCCCAAGTAATAATGAAATTAGGCAGAGACTTCTTCCTAGTGTTAAGGTGGGCATGTTTGTTATACATACCGAAGGCTGTATAGCATATATGTATACCAAAGGGTGTAGGCTGAAAACCAAAATGACGTTATACATTGCGCTACCCTGCCAGCACCTGGGAGTGCCTGAAAATTGTAAGCTCTTAGGTTGCCAGACTATGCCTGTTTAGTTTATGTTGACTCAGTTACATACTTGAATGTTGCTTCTACAAGATAGATCAAAGTCAATGAGTACTGCAGGTGTGGTAGGAAGCTTTGCTTTTCTTAGATATATTCCTATGATACATAATAGTTCCCTGGATCTCTCTTGACTTATAAAGGCAAGGCTTCCTCAAGAGGCACCAAGGTGTAGTATAAATAAACCAGGATTTGGAGTCAGATGATATTTATTATCTGGGTGACTTAATTCAAGTCATGAGCACTGGATTTAGAGTCAATAGACCTGGGCTCTAATCCTGACTCTGCCACTACCTGTGTGATGTCGATCAAGACTCTTGATTTCTCTGTGCTTCAGTTTCCTCATCTGTAAAATGGGGGAGGTGAATAATCTCAGAGACCATCTACAGCAACCTCTACGTTTTACAAATGAGGAAACTGGGGCCCAGAGAGATCAAACATCATGATCAAGGCCACAAAGACAGCAAACATCATGTGGAAGACATGTACGCGAGCCACTGATTCCAGATCAGATTCTTTGTAACCTAGGACAAACAATAACTTTCTCTGGGTTTCCTCATCTGTAAAAAGAGAAGGTTGGACTAGATCAGGGGTTTTTAACCTTTTGGTCTGAACCTTCTGAAGTCTGGTGAATCCTATTGACCCCTTCTCAGAATAATGTTAAATGCATAACATAAAAGACATGGGACTATATTGAACCAACCATATAAAAAGAAAGTTATCAATTTTCTAAAAATGCACTACCCCTAGGTTATATACTTTTCACTTCATCTGGCTGACACCCTGTGCCTCAGTTTCCTTATCTGTAAAATGAGAAGTGTTGGACCAGATCATCTCTAAAGTCCCTTCTAGCTCTGAATCTATGAACAGGTACCATGTAGTTAAGTGACAGCAACCTGAAAATGCGATGGGGGCGGGAAAAAAGAGAGAACCTTGCTGCTTTCCTTCACACAGTACCTGTCTAGGACCTTACTCTTTCCCCAAGCCAGCCACAGTCCTGGCGTCCAACATGCTTCCTCGGTGCGACGGGTCATTGCAGAATTCCCCTGCCTTAGAGGTGGAAATTCAGAGGAATTGCATTGGAGGAATCCAAAACAATGAGCGCAGGGTGGGTGGGATTTTTGACATCTCTGTCCAGAGTGTGCAATGGGAAAACACTCTGGGTGCGCCCGCCTTTAGTGGCAGCTTCCAGGATTGCTCCGGGAAGGGACAGGGATGGCTCACAGCCTGTCCCCAGACAGCTGCCGCCCCATGCGCGCAGGCCAGTCAGTGGCTTTATTTATTTTTCTTTTTTTTTCTTTCTTCCACCTCCTTCTCTCCTCCGCCCCGCGCAGACTTTCTTTCCACCCCCTTCTCCACACTTCTGGATCACTGAAAGAGTTAACCACCTCCCTTTTCCCCTTCCACCTTTCCCCCCCCTCCCTCCCCTACCCCCCTGTTCCTAAAAAAGAAAAGCTCAAAGTTTGGTCACGGGCAGGGAGTGAGATCAAAGCGGAGGCAATACTTCCTGTTGTAGGAGGCTCTGTATATAAGTGCCTGGGTAATGTTGGGGGGATGTCAGCACCATCCAGGAGGAGACGCGAGTGAGCGAGCGAGCGCTCCCTCCCTCCGCTGTCTGTCTGCCTTCCCAGCTCCCGGGGTTTCCCTAGAGACCACAATGAACAAGTTCCTCTGCTGCACGCTTGTGGTAAGTCCAGCAACTGAGGGAGGATCCAGGCTGTAGCTGCCTGAGATTCAGGGGACGGCGTGTCCCCTTCCCTGCACCGGTCGCCCCGGGCTTTGGGGCAGAGAGGGTTTGGGCCAGGCTTGTACACTGGATTTACAGGGTCATAGAGCCAGAATCACGGCATCATCGATTTTCTTTCTCATTCCCCATGACATCGAACTTCGGGAAATACAGAAGCTGAAAAAGTTGCTTCCCTAGGGATCCTTAACCTGGGGTGCATGAGCTTATTTTCTTAAATAGTTTGATAACTTCATTTCAGTATAATTGGTTTCCTATATAATCTTACATATTTTATCTTATGCGTTTAAAATCTTGATTCTGAGGAATCCATGGGTGTCACAAGATTGCCAGTGGGGGCCATGACACAAAGCAAGTTTAGAACATGAAAGACTTTTAAAGTCCTTTTCACATTTTTGTTTCTTAACCAAAATGATTCTTTCACCTACCTTTCTTTCTTGCACTCAAGCTTTATGGCCTCCCTTTGTCACATGTATCCTATGTCCTGATTAATAAGGCCACGATGTCTTATATTAAGTATATTCTTTACCTACATCTGCTTATAGCCCAGGAGAGCTAGCACAAGGTTGAAGGCAAGACTTTGTAGTGAAAAGCTAGCTGCACTGAAGCCTTGAAAACTGCCTTTGAATCCCATCTTGTGTAAGCCATTTCATCTTAGTTTTCCCATCTGTGAAATGGGGATATCAAACTTGTGGTACTTAATTTGCTGAGTTGTTCTAAGCAGCTTTTGTAAATATTAAAGCACTCCATAAATGTCTGTATTAGAACAATTATTTTTAGAGATTATTATTAGGCAATAGCTTGAACGTTTGCATCAATAAATGTAACTTTCCATTTCATTCAAACTGGAGCTGGTTTGTTTCATATATTGCACCATGGGAAAGATTGTGCAAACAGACTGGTATGCAGTGGGGGAACTGTTAAATTTGTAATCAGAAGTCTGTGTTTAAATCTCAACCCTGCCATGCTACCTGAGTGTTCTTGGGGCAAATCACTCTGGGCCTCGATTTCCTCATCTGTAAAATGATGGCGATGGAGTAGATAACTCTTAGTTGCCTTTTCAACTTTAAACCTATGAGCCTGTGATGATAAGATACTTAATAACTGTGGAATTGTCTAATAATCAGAGCTTTCATTTTTTAAAAATTATATAATTTCATCAATAACATACAGAGGAATATATTGTATGTGTTAAGTACACTTGGACTTATTCATTGTTAAGTGCTGTGCAATATTGTACAGGATTCGATTTTCACTTCCAGTATGAGTCCTTCTACAGCTATTAAAATAATTTCCCCAACCATGATAATAGCACTCACAAATAAGTAATTATACAAGCACTGACTTAGTCTTATGTTTTCCTGATGTCTAACGTCCACCTAGATATGAAGTAGACCTTCACTGCTACATAAAGCTACAAAAACAAATATTTAAACCACAGGAGGGTTTTGGACTTGTTGAGATGGCTACATAAATTATAACCTCTAGCCCACAAAGAGTGAATGGCAGCTTATGTAGGCTTCCAGGAAGTTTCTGGGATATGGAAAGCATAAAAAAAAAATAACAAAATTATGAAAGAAAGTCAAATTGGTCACCAGGCTGTAAACAATTACTTAATTCTTATCTAGTGCCAGATGCCTGTTATTTCTGTATGTTTCAGGCTAGTATAAGTGTTCTGGTAGTATAGTCCTATCCCCTAGCCCATATTACAGACTAAAAACTTTCAAGAATGTAATACCGAGGTAACAGGCACTATAGTAGTGGGAGGTAGGTGTAGATGCAGTTATATACATGCATAAATGATACTTTGCTTTGGATGATAAATTATATGATCAAAACAAAAGAAATTATATCATGCTGAATATAGATAGCATTCCAGATTAGAAAATGTTTATTTTTTAATCCATAAAACAAGAAGGTTTGATCAAATGGCCTTTAGGATCCCTTCCAGCTCTGACTCTACAATCTTTTATTTTCTGAAGTTCAATTTCTCATTTTGGTGAAAAAAAAAGAATGTCTACTTTGTGCTTACACATCCATCCCTGGGTGTAAGTAGTTGTTAAGCACCCACTATGTGCAAGGCACTGTTAGGTGATTTGAGAAGAGATACAAAGCTGTATAAAACATGACCCTCATCCTAGTACTAAAACTATATAATCTTAGAGAATTGACTGACCTTCAGAGGTGAAGTGACTTGCCTAATTAGAATAGCTTATGGGACTTGAAGCTGGGAAGGTCTGAATTAAAATCATGACTCAGCTATATGACATTGGATAAGTCATAGCCTCTCAGCTTTAATTTCCTTATCTGTAAAATAGGGATAATAACAGTATGTACCTCATAGGGTTGTTGTAAGGACCAAATGATTTAATATATGTAAAAGTACTGGGCAGCTAAGTAGCACAGTGGATACAGTACTGTGCCTAAAGTCGGGAAAATTCATCTTCCTGAGTTCAGCTCTAGCCTCAGACACTAATTGCAAGTGACTTAACCCTGTTTGCCTCAGTTTCCTCATCTGTAAAATGAGATGGAGAAGGAAATGGTAAACCACTCCAGTATCTTTACCCAGAAAACCCTAAATGGAGTTATGAAGAGTCAG